CTTCGATTTTCCGTTTGTGCCGTTCAGATCTCATGACAGCCAGGGGAGATCCCTCAAAATCCAGTTCCCCCCAAAGTTCCTGCCATTGCCCCATGTCCAACGCACACCGGCCAACATCATACGAGTAGTCAATAGGTTTCAACCAGCCAACACAGAAAGAAACCGGGGCGCAATGAGGGACAGTCAGATGGGGACCCGAATGATGCGGTGAGGGGCTGTTGTTAGATGATCTCCGCTAACCGTCTCCATACTGAAAGAGATTTCTGCACTAAAAATGGTCTCGACCGGTAGCCCCGGCAAAGTCTTAGTCACTCCCTGAAGGGAATCCCACGCTCCGCACCCGTCTTGACTTTAGATGTGACTTTCATGTAGAATGCCATCATCATCGTGCATACGGAGTTGGTTGGCCTGCCCCTTTGAGCCTTTAGCATTGGACATCTTCCCCGGTACCTGCCTTTCCAGTAGACGCCGTTCAATATGTAGAAGAAGTAAGTCTGGTTAGCTGAGATTTGTGAACCGGGATTTGACTGGACGATGCCCTTTCGCCATGGTTGTAAAGAACAACACCCCCTCGGTACTGCCGGGGATCAGAGTTTAGCCATTAAACTTGACGCTTCCAATTTCAGATGCAGCACGAATAATGATGCAACTGTGCTGCTGCCGGTTTCAGGTAGCACCGGGCCTAATAGTTGCGGGGAATAATAGTCATGGACTGGTAAAATATTCTTACCGGTTGACCGGCTGACGGTGAAGCCACGAGGGCTTGCCTTGAATATTGGGCATTACGGGAGAAGTAGAAGGGATGGTGCAAGTAGACAACGAACTGTTTGTAGCGCAAGAGTTCGTCAGTTACTCAATTTAGTTTCTCTTGCTGGTACCGAAAAGAGTAAGTCCATAGGCAGTCCTGCCAAGCTAATAATAACAAGTCATTTTCTATCTACGTGTTAGTAGTATACCAAGTAGAAACTATAGACAGTAATAGAAGACTATAGACGGGCTGTGTATTACTTCGTACATCCAAGACCAAGGAAGCAGCATCAACTCAGCCCCGGGCCCAAGCATACCATAGCCCCTTGGATACACCGAATTATTGCTATTATTGATGGCGAAATTGCGAGTGTCTTCCCCCTCATTCAACAGGATCGACCCAAATAGAATCAGAACAGGCCGCACGCAATGTGTTGGCCGATGACGCGTGACCGACTCAGCAATTTCCATTACCCCCAGGAAACCACCAGAGCCAGCCCTCGGGCACATCCATGGCTTGTGATTGGCTGTGGCGCCAATTTCTGTTACGTTTCGCCACGCCTTGGATTGGCGCCGTGCATGTCAGATGATCGCACAGAAATTCTTTAAAGCAGCCAGGATAGGCAGGGGCGGTGGGTCGGATATCAACCAATGATACTGTAGGAAAGGGGGGCGGACAGACGATGATTGGCTGTAAATGTTGCACGTTTTGGTGCCGCCCTAACGGGGTGAAAATTTGCAGGGCTGAAAGCAGCGGTGATGATGGAGTAGCGCGCGCATAACCGCAGAATGCAGAAAGAGGGAAGGTTCAACCAAGTCACTACTAGTAACGAGCTATTGGGGATGAAATTTTCTGGGCAGCTCCACCCCAGCCAAGCGTGACCCTGGCGCGGTGCCTGGAAATGGAAACTACGCAGTGGCCATGGTGCAATCATGAGTCTGCCTGCCGTCACGAAGGGGGGCCGTCCTGACTCTTCCCCCGGTAACTCGCTGGGCCCGCCTCGTCTGCGTCCAACTATATAACTCCTTCCCCGCTGCGAGGCCTGGTTCCAGGCTATAGAAGTGGATTCTCATCAGCTCCAGTTTGAAGAGTCATTCATACCACTAAAAAAGAAACACACGAGGGAAATTTTTTAGTTTCTCCTCTCCTTTTTTAATAGTCTCGCTCCCAGACTGCTTCTGCTTTATTCCTCTTTGTCTGACTCTGCCTACCACACTTTCACCAAACAAACAAGATCCTACCACTCTTTGCGAACCACTCGACCATAGGTCCCCATTGCCTATACACCTCATCTCCAATTGACTCATATTGCGTCTACATGTTTATTACGCCATTATCGCAAATCGGATTGAGTTTCCGCGTTTCGAATAATTCGAGTAATTCGATATAGACCGCGAGTTTATACTTCCCGCATCGCAAGCGCTTTTGCACGCATCAACAACATATCAACCAACACCACTCTACTACCTACCACTACCTATCACAACAACTCAATCACCATGTCTGCATCAGTGAATTACCGTGTCGTTGAACCGCATCCGTCGGTCCCTCATACCAGCCGCCCTGCTCTGCACACGGCTCGCGGAGGCGCTGGCAATGTCATCAACCTGAAGGGCACCAAGACCACCGACTCTCGCTCGGCCACTGGTCCTGCCTCTTTGACCCGCTTGGACTCGAATGTCCCCAGCACCTTCAAGTCCGGTCGTGGCGGTGCCGGCAACGTCCACAGCAGCAGCGAGCGCGCCATCTTCAGCTTCGACGAGGAGCTTGAGCGTGATCTCCGCCGTGCCGCCCCCGTCTACCACGTCGGCCGTGGTGGAGCCGGCAACATGGTCTTCTCCAGCGACGACTCATCCAGCACCCTCAGCCGCAAGTTCTCCGGCAGCAGCTCGAGCAGCTCCGGTTCTACTCGTGAACGGGCTCTCCGCGGTCTTGAGAAGGGCTGGGGCAAGCTCAGGGGCATGGCATAGGTATGAAGAGTCAGGGGGGAGTGAAACTGGGTTTCTTTCCGACCATCTTCAGCGCCATTTCCATTGTGCCTATTGCCGCCTACCAGCGTTGCATCAGCAGATCATGACTCACGACTTACGACCACCAAAAAAGTTTTTGTTTTCATTGTTCGATTCGACCTTCGAAGATTGCTACCTTCACCCCAATCATCTCATTCAACTACGCCTTTAATCCTTTTCCCTCTCTTCAACACTCGATTAAATTCAAGGGTCTATTGTTCCCCCTCCAACTTCAGCTCTCTTCTCATCTTTTCTTTTCTATTTTCAACCTCCACATCAACACTTTTCAACATGATACCCCTTTAGCCATGGTCTCGTCTATATGCGCGGACATCAGCATGGCGTTGACATTGCCCTGTTCACTTGTTCCTTTGTGATTTGTTAGGACAATGACTGGATTTTGTCTTGTTTACAGCATAGGATCGATCACTGCATCTCCGTGCTTCACTACCACAGCATATTGTGTCACTGGCCAATAGAGCCAAGATTTCCCATGTACCCTACTAGTTAACTGTGAAATCAAACCAAACCAAAACAACCCCAACCAAACCAGATTCTGTCCCATTGCGTACCAAGTAGTAGTAAGTTGTGACACAACTAATGTTGGTCACAAATTGTGCAATCTCACGTAATGATGCCGAAACCGTCCGTTACACAAAACGTAACCCCAATTACCTCACCAAACCCCCTGGGACCGCGGAGCGCATCGTCAACGACTGTACCAGAACCATCTCGATGCACCATCCCTTCAGCAAATGACGGGATCGCCGGTTTTTGATGTCGTGACTTGACATCATCAAACAATTCAATGACACGAATTGCCTTTTTCGACAACAAACATAAAATGTCTTGACAATATCATTCTATGCAAGGGTTACAATGACGCTGGCCCTCTACATTACTATACTCTTTGTGACAGTGGAGTTGGGTTGGGTTACCTTAGGTTAGAACTACTTGAAAATGTTCTAGACTTTCTTCTTACACAGGATGCATTGGAGGATGAAGAGGTAAACAAATGCTCGTGGTTCTTTGGTTCGAGACTACTATGCATGTGGCTGGCTAGTTGGCTAGCTGACTGTGTTGTACACTTGCTTGATCACTAGTAGGTATTTGGTTGGCACTGTGTGAATATTCCTCATATTGTGGGTTGGGTTGAGGCACAACCAACAGGCAATAGATTGCACTTGGAACTATATAAGTATATTGGCAACGTGACTAAGACATACATGACTAGGATGTCACATGAAGATGTCAGTGACTTGAGGTTTTGTTGTTGCTGCTGCTTCTAACTTAGACATCACACGCTCTTTCCTTAACTACTATACTAACTACTTTTCCCGTTTCCATCCATCTCGCTGCTGTTTTTGTTTATTACTACTACCCAGTACCTCAGCCCTGCTACTACTGGAACCCCGACTATTGATCAATCACTAGGACCGACCCCCAAACACTCTGTTGGCTAATAGTCACAAACCTACTTGTAGATCCGTATAATTCAAAGGAGGATTCATCCGCATCCCTCAGAATGCATACTTGGACGTGCTAACTCCCGCATTCCAACCTCGTTGAGTGATATGATCATCAATCACTTTGTCAGAGTGTCTTTCTTCACTGTTTGAGGGGTTATGCTCACGTCTTCATCTTATCTGGAAGCTTAGGCGATGCGACGATGTGGTACAGCAATATTCCTTGAGACCACACCCGTTCCATGCGGGTTATAGGTAGGTTTCTGTGTCCTCAACCTATCCACTCTGTTCAAAGTGTGACTCTTTGGTTGGGAAGACGGTGATCAGAGCAGAAATATTCGACAGGACGCAGAGCTAATGTGGCATGTTAAAACTTACTATTCATCTAGTTACCGCTCTCAGCATTCAATGATATCGCGTTACACCCCTATGTGCAGTTTGAACCAATCTAGGGAGACTTAGTGGAACACAAGAAGCTGAAATGTCTACGTCTACATACCAATATGACATCTACGACACTTGGAGACTCTAGTGTCACTGTCATTCAAGAAGGGGAAGCTACGGTACAGGCGCAGAGCGCATCAGATGGCATTCTTCCAAAAAGCCCGAGGTCCTCTTCCGTACGTCATATCACATACCAGTACCCAGGAGCCATAGACCTGAGGGCCAAAACCGGACCTCTAATGTGATATTGTAAGTCTATGACACATTCTGACAAGCCATCGTTGCGGTAGTTACTTGTAACATTTACTTTTGTTGTAACGTATGGCACCACGCAGCAGTCCTCCGAGTTTCAAGCTGAATCATCTACTTAGTATACACTACAACAGACTACTTCCTAAGCCCCCGTTCCAATAAGACGAGGTATGTATGCAGGGATTGACAATCATCCTCAGTCTCCCCTACCCTTTCAAATCCACAAAGGATCTCAAAGCACAGACCTCACTATATTTCCATATTTCATTCCTGACATCCTCCAGAAGAAAGACCTTCTACTTTCCACCATTTTTGAACTTATTGCTTTTATTGGTGGTAACGATCAGATAGGGCTATGTGGATGGGGTTTTTCTGAGCATCTTAGGTCAACTGCGGAGCCTCCAGGCTCCAGGTTACTTGATCAACGGAGAGGGTTTTTTGGGACTCGTATATTTTCATCTATCCATCCAATATGTACACAAAACTTCAGAATGTGGCACGCAATTCAGCGAGAAATAAGGAGATATGAGGTGAGACAGGAAAACGGTAGAAGAAGTAAAAGCAAAATAGCATCTAGATTCATGTCTTTCCTCGTAATCCGGGTACATGTCGCTAGGTATGTATGGTTAGAGGCTAAGGGAAGCAGCATAAGATAAGAGGTAGATGTGCTAGTGAGCTCATCCGATGTAGGGAATAGACACAAAACACCGCTCATGGAAGATGTATCCCGCATCAGATAGTTAAATAGTGGAAGGGTGAAAGCGTAGTATGAGTGGCAGATGGGGTATGGCAGCTTGAATAATCGAGGCGAACAGAAAAGAGGGGTATCTATTAAAAGCTGCTGCTGACCATTGTGAGCATCACCATTGATGTCTTTTCTAGCTAGTAGCTTGCATGTTCAGTATTTGCAGTGAAACGTATCCTGTCGCGGAGTCTGCGAGCTGCAGGCGCGGAAGTGGATACCGTCGATCGTGCAGGTCCCTGATATTGGTTTCATCCGAGAAGGCAAGCATCTTTAAGCGAACTTCCGGTGGATGATCTCGGGGTCTTCGTGCCATTCGTCTGCGCTCACCCACATCTGTTGAAGGAGTTAGATGTACGGTTCATGATTTAGGGTGATGAGGTGGAAACCTACCTTCCGGAAGGTGCTCAAGCCAGCAAGAATACCACCTCCGATCCATGTCGTGTACTTCCGTTCTGCGGGGGCAGAGATTCGGATCTTCATATCCTCCACAGCCAGACGCTTGATCTCGCGCATCAACCGGTCCGGGAAATTCTTGCACAGCGTTGATCCACCAGACAGGACGATGTTGAGGTAGAGAGATTTCCGCAAATCGAGATCCGTCCGGGTAATGGCATCCTGCACGATTTGATGTACACCAGGGTATTCCAAGCCAATAAGTTCCGGATCGAAGAGAATTTCGGGGGCGCGGTAGCGTTCTTGTCCGATCTGTCATGGTTCGCCATTAGCAAGCCCCTCCAACCCGATCAGCATAACGTAAGGGAAAGTACCTTGATCTTATGCCCATCAGGCAGCGCATAGTCAACAGACTTCGTCTCCGACTTGTGATAGCTATTCATCCAGTCTTTCTCCTCCCGCTTCGGATCCAGCGAAACGTAGCACACCTTCTCCTTGATCATGCGGACGACCTCCTTCTCCGCACTGGTATGCAGCACATGTCCATTCTTTCGTAACAGTAGTTGCAACTGTTCCGTCACATCCCGACCCGCCACATCAATCCGCCGTATACTGTTCGGGATCGCGAAACCTTCAAACACCGGTACCGCATGGGACACACCATCCCCTGAATCGAGGACCACACCTGTTGTCCGACCAGACGCGTACAATGACAGCACAGCTTGAATCGAGGTGTACAGCGCCGGAACGTTAAAGGTCTCGAACATGATTTGGGCGGCAGCGTCGCGGTTCTTGCGTGGGTTGAGCGGTGGCTCCGTCAGGAGCACGGGGTGTTCCTCCGGCAGCGTTTTCAGCTCGTTCTCGTACACGTAGTGCCAGATTTTCTCCATATCGTCCCAATCTGTTACGATTCCATGTTCCAGAGGGTAGCGAATCTTGAGCAAGCCGCGCAGTTCTTGAGCTCGTTGTCCGATAAAGACGTCGCCTTCGAGACCGCCGGCCATCACCCGCGGATGTTTGGGCCGGCCCACGAACGAGGGGAAGTAGCAGGAGGGGATCTCCTCACCGGCAAAGCCGGCGCGGATGGTCCCACTGCCATTGTCGATGACGATCGGAGCGTTGTGGAGGGTGGCTTCTGCCATTGCGTGGGGAGAAATGTTGGGGATTGGGGATCGGGGAAGAGAGAGGAGAGATCGAAGGGCGCGGGTGTTTTGTTGTCGTCAAAGGCACGGAGAGGCCCCGCGGCCTGGTCGGTTGCTGGGCGAGGACGCGGAACTCGAACGATGTCGCAGGACTTCTCCCGGTAGAGTGCTTGAGCTCGATTGCTCTTCTGCGAGATCACGAAGTAGAGCAAACCAGGCCGGAGGGAAGGGTAGCTGCGGGTTGTTCTGCGCGTATGTTTTTGGGGTCGAGGAATGGAAAGCACAGACCAGCACCGCTCCAAACTCTCGGAAATCCCAACTATAACTCTATCTACAACCCAACACCGTAGGATAGAATGCTTTACGATCATCATGCTTTGCTCGCCATATGATCAATTTATAAAGACATAAATATGCTTGATTCCTTCAATCGTCCCAACCGGATTGGCTACTCCTACAGATACATTCCCAATAACCTATATCTAAGCGTTGTTAAGCCACCATTTAGCGGATTGTCCAAGACACTGATGAGTCCAGTCTACCTTCCATGGCTGTTTGGTCTCGAGACTCCTCATTGCTCAAGGCTCATGGCCAGCTACCCGATGACTTCCATAGTCATGATAATTATAATCGTACCACATAGTGGCGGTGTCATCCCAAACAACTTACAGATGTATCGCTTTCAATGCGCCCGGCAGAGTGGATTCGACCGGTGCTAATGATAAAGACCCAAAGGCGGCTTCAATCTAAGAAGCCCAGTTCGTCAGACATCACGCTCTCCAGCGTTGGCTGGCGCCGCTGGCTTACTCCACACACAGGCGGCCAAGCCAGCATTTGAGCTCGCAGCTTCTCTGCACGAGCGAGTGCGCTCGAAATTTCCCTGGAAAAGGAGTGAGCTCGTCTATGTCACCCGGTCCTAAACACCGAAAGAGCAGCGTACCAGTAGTTGCTGGCGACAACATATCCCTGCTTCTGCAGTTCCTGTGCCAGTTCTTCCTGGTGATTATCCTTCAGGGTTGGGTTCGGTACAACAACAAGCGGTACACCAAGCCGTAATGCTCCAAGGATACTTCCCGATCCTGGACCCAAACCATGTCAGCCACCTCAATCAGGCATTGGAGATACTGTAGACATGGGCATTACCAGCGTGGCTGATGATTAGTCCCCCGACTCGACCCTCAGACGGATCAGCTCGAGCCAAACCCATCTCCTCGTCTAATCCAGCCTGGTTGAAGTCGAATCCGGCGATTTCAAGCCCATGTCGGCTTTCACTATCAGGAGGGCATCTGTTCTGGAACTCATCCCAAAGAGCCTGGCCGTCCTTGCCATATTGCACAAGTAGGTGGGTAAACTCTAGTTTCTGTAATGCCAGCAGACACTGACCTGACAGTACTGACTGTAGAAGAAGATGAAAAGAAGCTGTAGCACCCACAGTGACGAAGCAGACCTTTGTAGTGGCATTTGTTTGGAGAGGGGACGGCATGATGGTTAGTTAGTGGGCGGGTGATATCCCGCACGGAACAAGACTCAAACGTGGCTAATTTTGCCAACCATATCAGCCTCTAGGGAATGTAGTCAGTGCCGTAGCATTCATAGACTGGCACCCAACATGCCAGACTCTAGATGGAGTGGGCGCGGAAAGATGCAAAGGCAAGTACGAAGTTGCAGTTGAGGTAAGTAGTTCCAGCCAATTGTTCGGCGGTGAAAGTCACTGCCTTCCCGAAACGGTTTAGTGGCACGCGGCGATGGAAGGAAATGAAAAACATCCGCCGAACTTCCTCCACTGCGCCTCTCATTCCCAATATCCCCAGACTTTCCCCTCCCCCAATGGCCTCAGTAGCTCGGTCGCTGGGCCGCTCGGCCTTCTTCCTGGCCCGGAGAGGGCCTATCTTCACCCCCGTCCGCCAATTCTCCGCGACGCCCATCTCCCTCGTCTCAGAAGATCCGCCAGTCCCTGAGGAGCCCAAGCGCCCTCGTCCGCAGGACCTGCCCCCGGCACCAGAATACTCGCCTGATTTCCTCTCGAAAGAGGAGCGGGAGCAATATGACTTAATGTCTCCGCAAGAGCGAAAGGCGTTCGACGAAGCGAACCGTGCTCTTGTCTCCGAATACAACGACCCTCAGGCCCGTGCCGCCATGTTCGCCGAGCTCGACAAGGAAGTCTTCCAGATCGAAAGAGAAACATATATGCGTTTCGAGGCCCCGAGAGTCCGATCGAACGGATTCTGGGCGGACGAAGAACCGGATGATCTGGCTCTCGTTGAGGACGGCGATGAGGATTTCAACGATGACGAAATGACGAGCATGGCCTACGCACAACTCGAACAGCATCGTGAAATCAGAGAATACGCTCGAATCGCCGCTTGGGATATGCCATTGCTGAGCAGTATGCAGCCACACCTACACCCAGACTCCACATAATTCCCCCTTATGTCAGACACAATCCCTTTGCTGATAACCCGCAATAGAGCTCGCCAAACCCTTCACCCTCCCTCCCGAATCTCACATCCTCCGCTTCCGCTACACAACATACATGGGCGAGCAGCACCCCGCCGAACCCAAGGTCGTTGTGGAGCTGTCCTCCAAAGATTTGACCCCCAAATACCTCACCGAAGCGCAACGCCAGACCTTCCTCAAACTCGTCGGCGTCCGCTATAACCCCCAAACCGATATTGTGCGCATGTCTTGCGAGAAATTCCCGCTCCGCGCCCAAAACAAGCGTTACCTTGGTGACACCATCAAGTCATTGATCAAGGAAGCGAAGGAGGGCGACTCGTTCGCCGACGTCCCTCTCGATCTGCGTCACCACAAGCCCAAGGTTACGCACCGCTTCCCCGAGTCTTGGGTCATGACACCCGAGCGCAAGAAGCAGCTGGAGGCCACTCGTGCTGAGAGACAGCGTCAGGAGCAGGAGCGGGTGGACGGCAACAAGGTCGTTCTGCAGGCGGCGCGGACCCTGCCGGCTTTGAACCCTGCGTTGAACGCAAAGGCCACGGAAGAGCGGGAGAAGGTTGCGGTGAAGGTCAATGCAAAGGCTCAGCGGAAGAGGGTTCGGTGAGCTGAGCATTAAGCTGTGATGAATTCTGGAGGGATTCCAAGGGAAACAAACACCACGCCTCACTTCCACCATGATCGTTATCATTTACGAGAAACGGAGGGAGTATGTCCATATGGTAACCTGATGTGTCTGTTTGCGAGGGTATACTGTAGTATTTTCTTTGACCTGTGTAAGCTCAAACAAAACAGGGCGGCGCATATTTCGCAAGGTTGTATTAGACACTTTTATCTTATGTCAATGTATTATATCTCATTCATCGTTAACTAGCACTTTCCTCTACTTATTTCAACTGCATGAATCCTGATACTGTCTGATTGGACCTAATAGCATCGGGGGCATGATACACTACGCCGCAAAGGCTCTGTTGATTTAACATTCCATATATTATGAGGTTCTGATAAGTTCCTGGTACTATAGACATGGCACATGCCATAATATCCAGCATACCAAACCGTTTCAACAAAGGAAAAGAAAACTAGAGGAACAGAGCAAGCAAAGGTAGTAAAAACACACGGAAAAGAAGAGAAGACAACATATCTCGAAACTCATAATTGGCACATGTAAACGAATCAAAGGACAGAAGACAAAACACACCAGCGAGAACCCTCAGTACAGGACGTCGATTTTGAAAACTTGACAATTCGCCGCGCCTTGCGCCGGTTGCATGTATCCTGACGATCACTCTTTCCCTTTTCAACCTAGATCATGAACGAAAGGAGAGACATCTGGTCTGGACACAGATGAGAACCAGAGAGAACTAAATGCTGATGGCAATAATATAATGACCTGGCATCCTTGAGCCATCCCACACCTGCCGGACTCATCAACTTTGTAAGTATATTTAGTTTGACTAGTACTCGCCGTGTCGTGTATCATATCATAAAGGATCGAGACCCTGTATAGTTACGTCTCATATTTAATTGAAATTGTCTTGAGCAGTGCAGGACTACTCAAGCAGCGGGATTCGTTGGGCGCCCGGGCTTTTCATCGTCCTTGGTGCCCAGGCCTAACAGATCAACTTCGAAGGACCCGTCACACGACTTACCATACCCTCTCTTAGTACCTATAGCGCCGAAGGTCGCTTTGTGTTCTTTTTTATCTTTCTGTCGGTCGCGGACAAGATCGGGACTCGAGTCCGAAGATGCAGTGCCGGACTGGGTTAAAGGGGAGGCACCGCGAGTAGCCGGCTCGGACGCGCTATCTAGGGCAGACCGGATGTTCGGGCTTGGGTGGTCAACCTTGGAAATGGGAGATGCAACGCTCGGCGGAGCAGTGCCATAGCCTCTACAATCCCCCCTGAATGCATCTACTTCGCTTGCTTCAGGTTCGGACTCCTGCTTCAGGACAGAAGGCCGAGGCTGATACAACCGGCGGGATTTTTGTGCCTTCTTGGAACGAGGCTTATAGGGAGAACCACCGGCCAGCAGGTACTCCGAGCTCCCGGACATTGGAGTCGGCATTAGAGATTGTATACTGCGGACGAAGTCCTCACGCTCGCTGTTGACACTCGCAAAGGCGGCGGTGCCATTTGCGTTGGCCAGCGCGCGCATCTTCCCGGGCGCAGATTCCATGGATGTGTAGCTGGGGTACTCTGGAAGAGGGTCGAAGGATAAAAGATCCATTTTCGAAGAATTTTTTGCTCCGTGTCTCTGGGGCATTTGAGCCCTGGACGGTCCTGCGGCGGCATAGACAGGCCGCGACGATCCAGGAAGTGCAGCTGGTGAGTGCTGAATAGCATAATGAGTCTTCTGCTGAGGGTTCCTCTCAAAATCAGAGATGTCCGAGATGATGTTTGCCCCGAGGCGAGATGGGTTGTGGACCGCTCCGAAACCCCCATTGTCCGTCAGTGGCAGAGCATGACCGATTTGATGACGAGGATGAACATGTCCATTCGGTATCAGGCTGGGAATGCCATACTTCTCACGATACCAGCGGGGGATGTCACGGAGGCCAAGCTTCTCGAGCATCGCCGGGTCGCCAGGCATCTCATGTTTAAAAAGGCAGCCTATGGTCATATTAGTGGTCATACTACACAACCAGACGACTGAAATACTAGCCTTGTTGTGAATAGTCACACTCGCCATGGCGAATCCAGTACGAACAGTATTCTTTCTTGGTATTGTAGTGAGGTCCCTCGTCGAGGGTTAGTCACACGCGTTTTCCTTTTTGAAGACCTTTGTAATGCTACATATTAGGACTTACTTGTCTAGAACCCACATTGCCAGCAATACTACCACCACTATTAGGCACCAACCAACCGTTACTGGAGGAACTGGGCGTAAACATGCCGCGAGAAAGACCATGCTGTATCAGCGTTGTAATAGCCCGACGCTCGTTGGTCGGAAGACACTCATCGGAAAGGACTCTCATCAACGCGGCCTGTAAATCAGAGTCACGGGTGCGGTGTCCGGTCGAACTCGTGGACGTCTCTCGAGTGGAAGCGGGGCCAACTCCTTCGACAACATAAGACTGGGGCCTCATCTGTACAATCCCAAGGCTCGTCATTCCTTGGGTTTCACTGGCTGCTAGCACACGGGGAGCTCCACGAATCGAGATATGCGAGGGGAGCTCATCCACGGCGATAAGGGGAGTGAAGGTGCCATTAGGACGAGTACAGAAGTACTGGGGATGAATCGTGGAGGACATTGTGACTTGGCAGCATAAAACTGCAACCAGATGTTTGGATGATGTCTCGTAAAGAGATGAAGAGTCGGGAATGATAGATCCTAGATTCAAGTGTAGTGGTAAGCGGCTTGCGGGAGGAAAGAGATGAGAAAGGTGGTGGAAGTGTTCAAGAAGAAGCCAAGGGAATCAAGAGGTAGGAGGAGAAAAAAGAATGACAGTAGGCGAGTGCGCGTTTCATAGCGCGTGGTGAATGGCTTGGGTGTATGAGCGAGAGAAATGTCACTACCATTCACTTAAGCCGGCAATGGGGATTGGATAACAGTACTGACACGGAAAATTTGGAATCATTAAAACGAATTCAAGCAGAGGAACTTAAATATAGATGAATGCATAATATATAAGATAAGAAATCTTAGACGGACAATGCCATTAAAGGTAAGATAGAAGGGATGGCGACAGGTGCAGGATACAAGGTATTATTCGGGAGTCACCGTAAACATCCACAGTTAGAAAGGAAGGTTCCGCTAAATTGCGGAGCAGACATCCAAGAGGGTGGAAAGGCAGCAGGAGAGTAACGTGAAAGAGCCCCCAAAGCGCTTTAACAGCAGGCTCCGACTTGGGTCCCGTTGTGGCTCAATTCCGCCAGTGTTTGTCCGATGATGTTGGTCAGTACAACATCCGGCTCGGATGGCTGCAGCCCTCCCACTCTGGCACACACGCTGTTCTGGCCTGTCTTGTCGGTTTCGTTGGGGACACAATGCCCCATCCTTGAAAACTGGAGCCCTTTGACAGTCATCATATTTTGTCCTTTTCTGCCATGATCTCACTGTATCCCGTGGACCCCCTTGTTCACCTATGATGGTTGTCAAAGGCGGGAAGCTGCCAACATTTGTAATGTACATGGTTTGGCCACTTTGTATGATGATTCCGAGAGGCATCATACTGTAGGAAGCCCCTATTCTCTATCTGAATCATTCTGGTGGCATATCCCCATTATTTGAGACATTGAGTGCCGATAAAACGTGGCGATACAAACGGCTATATCAGCCATTGGTGTTGGTGACATACCGACACCAACTGCCCAGTAGATCAGCAGTAAACGGCTTCCTGTGATTAGTCAAATAGAGATAGCGTTTGAGACACAATGCGGATATAATCTACACTTACAGCCCTATCAGCGATGGTGCGGCCTTTTCCACCAAGGCCATTGTGCGACTCGAGAAATGTTGGCATCTTCTGGAAGAAATTAAGCTATCCCACAAGCTTTGAGCGGGGGCTCCGGATACAACCATTCGTCAGGTGAACGAGGGGATCTGGTCTGCTATAAGTGTAAGTATATCGGCCAGGGGTCCAGTGAGGAATGCGATGACAGCTGCAAGGAGGGAAATTGGCAGCGGCAGAAACCGAAAGGCCACAAAAACATGTGACCATTTCGGTTTACAGCCTCAAAGGGAAAGTGCCTCAGGTTCATTTCGGAAACTTCCAGTCATGCCAATGATATGATTGGGTATGATGTCTATGTATGTATGTACATGCATCCATAGCGATGCAAGATTGCAGCCCGTACGCCCAATAACCCCGAAGAATCCCCGTATATGCTTTTGATCCATGCACCATCAACTCCTCGCCGTCTTAAATACTATCTATGGTTCATGTCCCGAATATCCATAAGGATTGCGAAATGACTGAGGGGGGGCCCATGCTGGTTGCTGGTATGTCGACTGCCGTGTGCCATCGTTTGAGGTGAGATCGATGATGGAGGAGTTGGTCGCGCCAACGGCACTAGGTGCCTCGTGTGTGGCCTGTGTGGTATGTTGTGCGGTGAGATCGATCATCGGAGAGCTCGTCGTCACAGCGGCACTGGCATTCGAATCGGTGGTGGGTATGCCAGGGTTTGTGAGACTCGATGCAGCCTTACTGGCTTGCTTCCTCTTACGCTGTGCAAGGTCACCACGGACCCCATTCAAGTACTTTTTAGCTAGCTGGACAAGTTCACGGTCCTCAGTACTTTGCTTCAGAGCGGCAAGCATTCTGGCAACTTGAGTATCTGACCGCAAATGCGGACATGTACGCGAATACCCATAATGGGCAAGCCCGCACAGAGGACAGTGTTCGACGCCGGCCATCTTCAGGCGGCAATGTCCAACTACGTGGACCCGGTTGCACGCTAAACAGGGTGGCCCCGGATGGAGGACGGGTTCTACATTGCCATCTAACGGGGGCGGAAGATCCTGCTGGGTAACGCGTTGGAAAGCACGCACTGTAGCTTCTGTTAGTTGCCAGAAGACCTTACTCGATGCAAGGGCGCTCTCACCTTTGGAAGTTTTAGCGACCTGGTTCATGTCGTCGAAATCCAGCTCGGGCGCAAAATCAGATTCTGATTCCATTGCGTCGTCCGCTGTGAACTCTCTATCACTTTCCACCTCCTCACGAGCATGGCGGTCTTTGTTAGGCGATAGCTCCATTAAAGCATCGTTCGCATAATCCACAGCAGTCCGTTTACGTTTCCCACGACCAAGGGTTTCAGCCTTTCGTCTGGCTTCCTCGGCAGCTGCCTGCTCTCGCTCCCGCAGGATCTTTTCCCAAACATCTGCACTTGGCGCAGGCTCTTCCTCCACGTTCTGCAGTTGATCCTCGAGATTCTGGTTATCGTTTGCCCAAACCCGAGCAAAACTGAACTGGTTGCCCTGATTATTGTCATCAGGTGTGCTAGCTTGCTCGGCTTGACTGCGGTCAAGAAGTTTGTCAACCGATTCCGAATCATAGCGGACGTCGCCAGAGTCATCGTCATCAAACAAGGCCTGAGCACCGTGCCGCAGAATGGTTTCCAGGTCTCGTCCATCTTCTTCCTCCGAAACCATGCGATCAATGAGGACATGGTCAAGAACCATTTTCTTCTTGCCAATCTGCATGATCTTCTCTTCGGCACTTGCCCGGGTCATGAGCTGAAAGACGAGGACCTTGTTCTTTTGTCCTATGCGATGAGCACGGGACAAGGCCTGCATATCCTGATGTGGGTTAAAATCGGGATCCATAATGATTACAGTATCAGCGGTAGCTAGGTTAATTCCAACGCCACCAGATCGAGTTGATAGGAGGAATGCAAAGTACGGTGAGTCTTCGGCATTGTATGCATCGATAGTCTTTTGTTTCTCGAGCGATGACATTCTCCCATCGAGGCGAAGATACATTAAGCCGACACCTTCCAGAAAATCTTCAATGATGTCCAGGTTCTCAAGGAATTGACTGAATATCAGAACCCTGTGGCCGCGGTTCTTGAGTTTTGGCAGCATTAGTTCCAATAGCTGGAACTTGGCAGCTGCATCTACCAAATGTCGATGTGAAATGGCAGCGTTGCTCGTTTTCTCTTCGATGGCCCTGCTGTAAACGAACGGATGACATAGGCATTTCCGCAGCTGCATCAAGATATTGTTGAGATTATGCTTTTCAGTCTGTTTCAAGGCACGGGTACCTTCTTTCCTCTGGAATATTGCCTTGATAAGCTGAGGGTTCTTAGCCAATATGGATTTGTACAGTTTCTTCTGCACCGTAGTCATCGAAACAGGGACGATAATCTGTGCCACTGGAGGGAGGAAACTGAGAACCTGGGCTTTTGTCCGTCGCAAGAAGAATGGACGGATCATGTTATGTAGTTCAAGTATATTCTCCTTTGATAAATCCCCATACTCGTTTTCGAGGTCATCTGCCCTCTTAGACGGATCACAGAATTGCAACAAATTAAAAAGCTCTCTTATGTTATTCTGGAGGGGAGTGCCCGTCAAAAGAATCTTGAAAGGAAATTTGATTCGTGACAATGCATCGTACAGTTGACTTTTGTCGTTCTTTAGCCGTTGCCCCTCGTCCACGATGAGGCCAGTCCAAGGTACTTTCGATAGCAGTCTTCGGGATGCGTCGTCGACCAGGGTTTCGTAGGAAGCTACGACGACGTGGCACCGAAGGCTTGTATCGTCATCAGCGAACATTTCATAGTCTTGTGCTAACTTCCGAGAGAATGCCGATCCATAGTATGTGACTACCCGCAGTGAGGGAACCCATGTTTTGATCTCCTTCCGCCAATTCGGGCACGTCGAATTTGGCACAACAATCAGGAAAGGCCAGCACTTATGATATTGAACAAGGGTTGCGATTAGGCCGATGACCTGAATGGTCTTACCGAGACCCATTTCATCAGCCAAGATAGCGTTTTGCTGTTTGTACCACATGTAGTAGAGCCAGTCAAGCCCGTCCTTCTGATAATCCATGATCTGTCCGCCTGTCATTGTCTCTGGCTGCCCACTTTTGACAACGTTGGAGCTGAAGTTTTGCTTCCGGACGTGAGCAATACGCCGTCGGAGGTTGTCTTGGTTGGGTATGTGAGTATACTCCCTTTTGACCCAGTCTTCGTATGCAGCTCGGAAACTCTCCCACCTCTCAGGGTTGCTGCTGCGCTCGGGAGGCGTGTCCCAGGTGACCTCCTCATACGGTAAACCCTTGAATTTGACGTACATTTCTACCACATCATCCACACGTGCAACGTCTTCTTCGAAGGTACGTTTGCGGCCTGTGTCAGGCGAGGTGCCGGAGAATCTCACATCAAAGACAATGTCCACGAGCAAGAAGTCCTCAGGAATCGCTTCCTCGGCGGTCATACAGGGTTCGAGGCTTTTATCTGACCTCATAAAGGCACGTCGCATGTGATGATTTACAAAGCCCCAAACCCAGCTGCCCGGCATCCAGGTGGTATGGTTGTAGGATTTATTCTTCCACTTGATAAGGTATTCCCTATCTGCTCCCTTCGCGGCATCTGACTTATGAACCACAGGGCGCCATGCGACTATCGCGCCAACCTCTCCAGGTACTGATGCACAACTCTCACACTGCCATGTCATGTGCGTTATTTCGGATAAGTGTTCGAAGTGGAAGCCTCTGCGGCAGGTGGTGCAGCGGAAGAGCAGGTTCTCAACGTCGTTGACCCGGGACATGTCAAAGGGCGTTATAGGATCTTTACCATCATTCTGCTGCCGGAGTTGTTGCTCCTGCTTTGGTGTCAGACGCTCCCGGATCGGTTTAGACATATTCCCTCTGATGTTGCAAATTGAACAGCGGCCTTGATGTGGGTTAGAGGGGTCCTTGGCATGAGAAATACCTAGACAGCGCCGGCACTGGAGAAGAAAAAGATCTTCAGCTACTTTTGTGACAAGATGTTCTCGCGCAGAGCGTGGACCGAGACACCCTTGGTGGTAGGCACTCGTACATCCTTGACAGAAAACCA